CTCCTTTCTGCTACCACTGTAAGTATATATATCAATATTTTTCAGATTTTTTTTTCCATATGAGCAACCACATAGTTGTTAGTTTTCAAACCTGCTATAAAATCATTGGCTTTCACTTGATGCAAGCCCTTGATTAATGTATTATCTGCTTCTGTTTTTTTCTCATTAGACTATAACACATTGACTGATATTACTTGGTCTTGACATGATTATAAAGACAAAAGCAAATGCGGTTGTTGTTATATGCCGTCGAGTCCAACTCATAGTGACCCTTCCTTGGGTTTCCAAGGCAATATCTTTATGGGAATATATTGTCCAAACTTCTTTCTGAGGAGTGGCTGGTGGGTTTGAACTGCCAGGCTTCTGGTTAGCAGTCAAATCTCTTAGGCACTACGCTACCAAAACAAATGCAGACACTGATAATACATTGTAAACCCCAATTATAATAAGACAGCAATCCAAAAAATATAGAATATCCTTATATTGCTTGATTAAATAAAATATATGTATGCCTCTTATCTACATGGCTGCACATATATTTATTTCAATTATCCTGATTAATTAAAAATTGCAATTATGCTTATATTATAGACTTAAGATCACTTAGAAATCCAAAGAATGCAGTATGAGGAATTGACTTTGTCCCATTTTTTTTTTTTTTTTAATTCCCCCTTAGGTAGAATATAAGAAGGGATTTACCATGTTTTTTTTTTTTTTTCAGTGCATATCCTTAGTCCGAATTTCACATTTCATATTTTTCTTTATATTGTTTTTCATCTAGTCTCCGTTCTTCTAGATCATGAATATATCAGGGGTCATTCATGTTGGACTATGCTCTTTTACTGTTTGATGCTCAACTGGGCTATTTCCTTGGTACTTATCAGAACACCTCCTGGGAGTGCTGTTTTATGTCTTACTGCTTTAACATTTCTCTTACCTTAACCAGGCCATAGGAAACCTTATTTATGTTTTTTTTTTTCTTCTTCTTCTTCTTCCATGCTTTATCTTATGTGTGATCTCCCTCTGGGTTTTCCTCAGCCTGGTGAGTGGGGTCCAGATAAGTTAATGATAGACATTCCAATAGAGATCATGAGAATCTGGACTATGGTTATTGACAATGGGAAATGAGAGCAGAAAACAAGAGTATAGAGGACAATTTTTAAGTAAACAGATGGTAAATTGGCCACTAACCAAATCAGAGCAATATAAAGAAATAAGTGAATAAAAGAACTGAAAAAGAATTGTTGGGAGAATAATCCGCAGAGGCAGAAAGTTTGTAAAAAAAAAAAAAAAAAAAAAAAAAGCTGTTATCAAAGGGATGGCTACCAACTCAGGACTTGAGCAAATTTACCTTGAGGACAGAAGCAATGCTCAACTGAAAATTTAACAGGCAGCTGATGGTAACAGATGTAGATTAAGTATATATCAAGACATGCGAATCACAAGCCTCAAAGTAATAGTCAAAGCCCTAAAAAAAATCACTGAATTTTTGAAGCAAAAGTAAAAGGGAGCAGGAGTGGGATGAAGAGCAAAGAGAATACTCAAAGGATAAAACTTGAGCCCTATGTATGAGGCACCAGAAAGAAAAGGAGCCAATGTAGGTTAAAGACCATTTCAAAGATGTAGGAAAACATTTGAGAAGTGTTTCAAAACATGGATAGACAAGGACAACTACTGTTGTATAGTCTTAAATGTACAAAGGAAAATTCTTATATAGAGTTCATAATATTTAAGGACAATACAGCTCTGGGTGTTTAAGTGTGTCCCTTTCATTTTTCTTTTTCTTTATTTCTTTTTTCTTTTTCTGAAACCAAAATGTAAAATTTCTCATGAGATGTACTAATTAGCTACTGATTTATTCCTTGCTCTCTACAGTAGATTACAAGGAGTTTCACTTTGTACCTCATATCTTTATAAATGAAAGTGTAGGAGTATGTATGTTTGTGTGTGTGTGCATACATACACACAAACATATATAAATATATACACACATAAAATAATATTTTGCCTTTAATTGAGTGCCTCTAGTTTGTCAACAAAGAGCCCTGGTTGTGCAATGGTTAATCACTCAGCTGCTAAGTGAAAGGCCTATGGTTCAAACCCACCAGAGACTCAATGCGAGAGAGGAAGGAGGATCTGGCAATATGCTCCTGTAAAGATTACAGCCTAAGAAACTCTACAGGACAGTTTTACTCTGTTCTACTTGGTCAAAATGTGTCAAAATCGACTTGATGGCACACAACAACAGCATGTCAACAAAGTGTTAAATGTTATGTACATATTATTTTGTTTAATACTCACAATGACATTTAGAGCAGGTGATATTAATCTGAAATTAATGAGATTTATAATTTAACTAAAGTCACGTAGCTAATAAATGTCAGAGTAAAGAACCAACTCCAAAATCTTCCTTTATATAGAATATAATTTTACAGAATGAATGTGTTTTAAAATTGCTAAGAAATATGATGTTATGTTAATACAAGCAAAGAATAAAATTAAAAAAAAAACTGAAAAATCTTTATTCCTTCTACCTATACCAATAAGAAAATCTACCAAATTTTGAAATTTGTCTGTACACATTGTTCGTTTTAAAAAGAAATCTGAATACCTAAGAACTGTCTGTCACATAGTAGGCATGTGACATTTTTTGAATCAATCAATAGTTGAAGGGATACTAGAATTTAGCAGGAATTTCTTTCGTCCCATGAGCCAGAATTTATATGTCTTAGACAACAATAATTATTTCATCTATTCTTCATTTTATCAGAAGTGTTAGAATTCTGTTTTTGATAGATTGCCAACTTCTGTTTTAAGCTCCTTTCAAATAGCCTTTTGTCAAGGAACTAAAAACTATACTCAGGCGAAAATAAGATTCCCAGTTGTTGATCGTACAACATAAAGTGGGTCTTCTTAAATCCTTGAAATCAGGGTTAACTTGTGAAATCAGCCTCCAGATTTAACAGAAGTAGCTACAAAGTTTCTTGGTTTTGACCTCCTTGGGTATGAACTCCTTTTAAAGAAGAGTTTCACATGTGTTTGTAGAATATCATCTTTCCCATTTAACCTGCCAGAGAAATGTCATTTCATTTGGTGCTCACCCTATATGAGGATTATAAGAAAGCTAGACACTGGGCATGCTTCAGTGATTGAAGAGAAATTAAGGTTTGTGAGCATGAACAAATGATTTTCTGAGAGAACTCAGAGAGAAAATGATGAGGAAACAATGTATTGAGACATTGTGAGATAGAAACAGAATTGTAAAGGAGAAAATATATCACATTTACTCCCAGCAGTAAATTAAAATGAACATTTTGCAAATGCATGGCAGTCTTTCCATTGATACATTGTCACCACAAAAGCAAAGTCTTTGAAAAGCCAAAGGTTATTATTATAAATACTTTGTCAAAATACTTTCTTGTTCATCATCTACCACAAATGTTTTATTATGGTATGATTCAAATACATATACGTAATTTCAGATGATTGATTAAAAAAAAAAAAAAAAAACCTCACTGCCATCCAGTTGATTCGACTCGTAGCAATCCCTCCTTGGGTTTCCCAGGCAGTATCTCTAAAGAACTAGATTTCCCCATCTTCCTTCTGAGGAGGAAGATGAGGCAATCTGCTTCTGTAAAGATATACCACCTTGGAAAGCTTATCGGTTGCTATGAGCCAGAATCAACTCCATGGCAATGGATTTATATAACAGAAAGTAGTCATGCTTGAAAAAAGAAATAAGATGTAGATTCTGGCCATAGGTTTTACACTGTGTGAACCTTGGCAACCTTTGTCTTTCCGAGCCTCTTTTTCTTTATCTGTAAAATGATAAGTTTAAACGGTTTCATTTAATTCTCCCAGCTCTAATATGCTGCAAGGGTATTTTCATTGGAATCTCTGTGGAAAAATTTTTTAATTATCTAAATCTAAAATCCAGATGTGAATAATAATGTCTCTACTAAGTAAAGGAAAACCCTTATGTTAGATACTGCCACACTTTCCTGTAACAAGCATACCTGGATTATTAGATCGTTGTTACTATTGCAATTGTTAGTAATGTAACAATATCCTCTCCCTTACTCTTTGTTCCATTCTTATAATTTATAGTAATTTAACTTGGGATTTTTTTTTTTTTTGGTCTAATAGTAGATAAGCCTGGAACAGGACTAGCAAATTTAAGAATAAAATGTTTAGATTGAATTCTCTGTATATCTTATCAGTAAAAAAAAAAAAAAAAAAATCTTGTTTATTCATACCTCTTACATTCATGGCTTTTCCTTTACAAGTCGACCTAAAGGTCCCCTTTTAAGACTGTACCTTCTGCTCAAGTTATCTTTCCTTACTGCTTCCTATATCTCACATTTCCTTAAACCTTGTTTCCTAACTGACAATTTATAAAATAATACACTTTATGATAACAGATGCATTGATGATATTAGGGAAGTTATTTGTATTCTAGAAAACTTCCTATTGTTTTAAGTATTATGAGTAGGGGAAGAGAAAGGCAAATAAAAAGGAATAACTTTTTAAGGCTTCAGGTGGGTGGCTGTGTAATGTGATTCCTATGAAACTTGACATCAAGAAAGTTAGCATTGAAATGAATTTTGTGATGGTAAAGATGTTGTATCCCGTTTTCTTCCTTTTCTAATATTAAACGAATGCCATTATACTGTGCTTTGTTGACCATACTATTGTATAAAACATGTCAGAGTATGATTAGACAATAGGATAGGGGTCAGCTTTTCTTCCTATAATCACAATTATAAATATATCTCATTATGATCAATTTTCCATTGTTTCTTATCAATCTTTAACACTCTTAGAACATAAAAGATGCATATAATTGTATTACATATTAAAATATAAATACTGATTTTTTTTATATTTATTTGAAATAAAAAATTAAAAAAAAAAAGAAAGAAAACCTCATAAAGTCTCTGTAAGACTAAGGCTGCAATTGCATTATTTATTTTTATTCATTCATTTATTTATTTTTTTAGCTGTGTCTTGTGGAATTCCAGAATCCCCAGGAAATGGTTCCTTTATGGGTAATGAGTTCACTTTGGACAGTAAGTTGATCTATGAATGTAATGAGGGCTTTAAGCTTGAAGCTAGTCAACAAGCAACAGCTGTGTGTCAAGAAGATGGATTTTGGAGTAACAAAGGGAAGCCACCTACTTGTAAACGTAAGTGTTAAATTTTTTCTCTATATTTAATTAGAAACAGAATTCATTGGTTAGAATTCCAAATTTTAATGTGTAGAAGGCTTTTATCATAACATGAGAAGATGTGGTCTCTTGAATCATGTTAATATTAACACCAATTGATGGTTTATAAAATACTCCAACTATTTAAAATAAGTTATGCATTTTGGCAGGTTACATAGAATGCTTTGTTCCATCAGTGATTTATAGCATGTAATTTACACAGCAAATACTCTTCTATGGTGCAATTTTCAATTTAGAGATACAGAGGCAAGGGAATATTAAAACATTAAGCCTGGCACACAGTTTACACAAAATATTAATACATAATTCAAAACTAGTTTCAACTTCACATACCATACCATTTAATTTTAAGTTCCTTGAAGATGAAGTAGTGCCTGTTATTTCTAAGTCACCTTGCATGTATAATAATACTTTGATGTTCAGCAACTAGATCACTAATGTGGTTTATAAAGAAGTTTTCTAGAAAACAATCAATATCTTTAAAGCACTTAAAGTTGGGGTACATTCTGTGATGCTAGACTGAGAAAGCAATTAGCACCTCCACAAAACAAAGCCAAATAGAGGAAAAGCTCACAAACACACACACACACAAATTTATATGCCAAGATCACTGCATCTATATTAAAACTAGCCTCAAATTGGAAATCATCTAATGGTTCATTTTCTAAAAATTAAAAACTCTATACTATTTCTACACATAAAATGATGTTTTTGCTGTAACGATATTAGTCAAAGGAATCTATGTAGTCTTCAATTAGTTCCTTGGCTTCTCTATTCCGGTTAACAGTCAAATGCCTTAGGCTGTATGCCACCAGAGCTCCTATAGTGTTCTGATCATATTAAAAATTGACACTACTTGGAAATGAATACACAAATGTTTAGAAAAAATAAATAGTTGACTTTTCCCACCATAGTTTTCATTTTCTTTGCACTTTGATCTATTAATTTTGTAATAATTATGCCATTCCCAGAGAGTTAATTAGGAAGCACTGAAACAGTATTATTTTTCCTATGTTATATTTAGTAAATTACTGTTTTATAATTAAGTAATAGTAGAGGAAGCTCAGTAACAAGACACATTTGTATATTTTTTAATTCAATACTAAAAAATACTGTTCTTTTAATTTAAAAACTTAATTTGACAGATAACACTGGTATATTTTGGATTGCTTACAATAAAAACAATCTCAGGCATTTAAAGCACTATTTGCTTTCACATAGCCTGCAGATCATTAATAGTAATGTCTATCATTAAATGTCTACTAGCTGCCAGATGTTTTAAATGGCTTATTTATAAATATCATAATAATCACAAAAGTAGGACACAGATGACCTTACAAAAACCATTGCTGTGGAGGTGGATCCTACTTATAGCAACCCCTCCTTGGGTTTCAGAGACAGTATCACTACAGAAGTAGATTGCCTGATCTTCCTTCCAAGGAGTGGCTGGTGGATTTGAACAACCAGTCTTCAGATTAACAATCAAATGCTTTAGGCACTATGCCACCACACCTTACAGATGAGGTAAATTCTAGTAAAACTATTAATTTGCAGAATTGGGGGTTAAACTCTGGGGTTTGAACTCTGAGGTTTGAACCAGTTCTATCTAGTTCTAAATTTCATTCCCTAGTAAATTTCATTCACTAGTGGTTCTCCACCTCTGATTATACATTACAATTGTCTAGAGAGCCTTAAAAATACTAATGTCCAGATTTCATTCTCAAGAATTTTGATGTAACTGACCCCAAGTAGACCCTAAGCATTCATATATCTTTTTTAAACTCTGGGTATTATTCTCAAAATGTCAATCTTTACACTATGTTTGAAAAGAATATCCATTTAAAATCTGTATACTCTCTGAGACAGACTAATGACAAGATAAGAGTAGAAAATGTAATTTTTATTTACACATCTTATTGTCATTTGGTTGAAAACAGAATATGATAAAAATAACATTTTTCAAAATGTTTTTAGTACAAATTCAGTAATTTGGAAACTTATTTAAAGGAAAAGTTTCCATGCCAAGATCATCTATCTTATCATTGATTATACAGTCCCAAGGAAACATTTAATTTTAGTATAAATGCCCTGATGGACATATTTTATTCCACTCAATTTTAAAGCCATATGTAAATCAATTTGTCTGAAGATAACCTAGATCTTTGAGAATCACAGACCCAACTTCAATAGCCTTTTTTTTTTTTTAAATTTTAACCAGTGAAGTGTTATTCATGGATTAATTAAAGAATGCCTCACACATGTGCCCTATGACTTCCTAGGTTGACAAAGTGAATAAGAATCTTAAGTCTTTCCTTAATGTTGAGCTGTTTTTTCCTGAACATATACTGGACAGAACATATTGTTTGCTTCTACAGCATAAGCATAATTTGTTTATGTTTGTATTATCCATATTTATGCATAAGAGCACACATAATTGTTAAGTATGCCCACATGTTTAACCCAACTTTCAAGTGTGGTTCAGAGAATGCCTTTGCAAGCAGTTAATACCTGTCAGAAAATAGATTGGCATCATCAAATTCAAAATGAATTGCCTTGGTTTCCATGGAGAAAGCATGTGAGAGAACTACTGTGGACACAAAGAAGCCAAATAAATTATATGAACAAGCAAAGATGGACACTCTCTAACTCACTCACCAAACCTTATCAGAGTATACATTGTGTGCTGGACATAAGCCTTGCCACCACTGGCATAAAAAAAGATTGATAGAACACACCAAAGGCCCTTAGAGCCTACAAACAAGCACAGGACATTAACTGAATGGTATCATATAAATCACAGTAGGAAGTAATAACTGAGATAAATGAGGTAATAGGAGTGATGAGCTTCTGTCTTAGTTATCTAATGCTTCCATAAGAGAAATACCACAAGTGAATGGGTTTAACAAACAAAAACTAATGTTCTCACAGTTCCGGATGATAGAAGTCCAAACTCAGGGCATTAGCTCAAGAGAGAGGCTCTCTCTATATAGGTCAGGAGGAAAATCCTTGTCTCTGTTTGACCATCTTTGGATTTCCTGAACTTGGAGACTCCCTCTGTAGTCTTCAGATAATATTGTACTTCCCCCATATTCTTTCTGCTGAGTCTAATCTGTTATTTTACATTTCAGAAATGATTCACTTAAAACACACCCTACACTGATACGACTGCATTGATGTAACAAAGAAAACCCTATTCCCAAATGGTATCCCATCTACAAAGTTAGGATATTCAATATATATTTTAGGTAGACACTATTCAATCCATACAGTCAGTCTTTATAGAGGAGATGACATTCAAGTTGAGATAAGAGTTTAGTGTGGTGAAATGTAATAATCATCAGAACCACTTACTGAATGAAAACTGCAATATTGTATACTAAACATTTTATTATTTAATTA